GATGAAATCATGAAATTTGCAGGTAAATGGATGGAACTAGAAACTGTTATACTAAGTGAAGTAACACAGACTCAGAAAAAAAATCGACATATGTTCTCCGATATATGTGGATCCTAGAACCAAACTCTGATAAGTGAGTATGCATCTGGACATAACTATAGGAACCAGGATAATGGAAAGGAACCAGGGAGGTAAAGGAAAAGAAAGAACCTGAAAGAGAAGAACAGTAGGAAACAGGCCTTAATAAGGGAGATATGGATAAAAATTGGGTTAGTTTAAGGGAGGGGGGAGGGAAGGGTATACAAGGAACCTAGGGGATAAAGGGAAAGAAGGAACTCAAGAGGACCATAGGAGAAGGGTATTATTAAGGGAGAAAGGGGGAAAATGGGGACACCTTAATTGGGGAAACCATGATGGAGGGGTGAGACAATGCAAAAGATAAATAATGCTTAGCTAGTTTTAAAACTCAGATGGAACCATATTGCTCCAACAACCTACTGACTAATTATACACAGCAGATCAAGAAATACATTTCTAGGTAAGGTTTATCTGAGAACGACTGGTCTTTGCCCAAGATTTATCTACATGGCACACAGTAATTAAAAGCACCAGACTGGTGGAACTAACCTTTTTGGATGTTTAACAGACATACTTTGAGGCCTATACTAATTTGGTCAGAGGGACTTAAAGGACAGTTTTTGCTCCTTGCCCTCCTAGGTCAACTAGTTACAGGGAACTATGAGCATCTCTCAAAATGCCCTGTAATTGTGGTGGGTCACCTGTCCTCTTGATCAAGGAGGCTGAGGAGACCCCACCAGATGGACATGAACCAATGTCCAGTGTACAAAGAGGAGGGTCAACACAGGAAACAGTTCTTCCATGCTTCCAAGAGAAGCCAGCCATGGCTGAGCAGGACCTTTGACTTATCTTCACATAGGCGGAACTGGTAAAAGAAAGGAGCCAGGGGCTCCTCCCAAGCCCATGTGACGCCTGAGGAACAGATCCTCAAACGACCTTAAGAGTTAAAATAAAATGTTTTATCTGGGCCAACTGTATGGCCTTAAACACCCAAAAGGAAAGTATAACCAAAGATTAAAGGGGCCAATATAATTTCTTAAGAGTCCATATGTATAGCTAAAGGCTACATAACAAGCAACAATGCCAGACAGATGATACCTTCCTTTGAGCTGTTGGCCAGGGTGGCCAAAGGGACTCCCAGATAGTAACCCAGCATAGAACTGGGAAAATGAATAGCAGACCCCAACCTTATCTAAAAGAATACTGATAACTAATTGTTGCTAGATGAGGAACAGCTGACCTTCCTAAAACAAAGACCTCTAGATAGGCTGACTAGATTCACCAGATGGACAAGTAGTGGGGAACGGCTCGGGGTGCCGACCATACAGGGGACAGTAGCAGGGATAACAGAGTATAATGGCTCTAGTGGGGGGAGGGAGGCTGTGGGAGGGTGCCACTTGGGAAGTGGGTGTATAGTTAAGATGGTTTGGGATGTTCTGTGTGATATACACCAACAGAAAAAAATCAACAAATTAAAAAAAATGTATTATATTTGAGGAAGAAGCATAAAAGTTTATGTCATGTTAATTAGTAGAGGTGATAAACATTACCATTGAAATCTATCTGATGACTTTAT